CGCTTGGCCGTGTCGGCAACGGTCGTGTGCTGCAGGATCTGCGTAGGACGGCAGCCGGAAGACGCGGATCGGCGATGCCGTCTCTGTCAGCGCGTACTCGATGTGCCGCTGGTCAAAGACGTTGCGCTCGCCGTCTTGCACGATGAAGAGGACGCAGCGCTCATGGCCGAGCTCCGATTCGCCGTACGCATCATGCGCCGCGCGTATACCTGCCGCGAGGCCCCTGGCGCTGTAGTTCTCCGGCAGATCGAGCGTGCCTGCAGGGATGGCTTTCTCGAGGAGGGGGTATTCGGCAGAGGCCAAGAATCTGTCGTCTGGTCAGGACGCCATCAGGGAGGATGTGGGAAGGGGTCAGTGGTAGGAGTACTTGTGTAGGAGGCTCGTCTGGGATGATAGGCCACCAAAAGAGGCTGCGATCGTGTTGAACTCGACCTGCTTCACTTGACGCTGACCTTCTTCGTCTTGGTGAACCAGGTAGTCTGACCTGAACAAGCCAAGGGACAGGTTCTGCAGCCGGGCAGGAGGGTCAGCGGCTGATACACGACACGATTCATGGCCAACATACTTGCGTGTAGCCTTCTTCCTTGACCTTGAGGTGAATGTCCCACAGGCTCGTCGTAAACTCATCTCCGTCTCGGACCCTGTCGTGTGTAAGCCATGCGTGCTGTTGATATATGGTTGACGGTGCACCGCAAGGCGTCTTGTCGCAGTGCAGGTCGTGGGGGTGGGAATGCGACTCACTCGTTCACGGCATCAGCGAGGAACTCCTCATCCCTGCTGATGGCGGCATAGAGCTCGTTGTACGTCTTCTGCACCGTCCTCGCCTGCTCGAAGCATTGCCTGGGGAAGGGGCTCGGGAAGAGCGTAACAGGCACATTGATGGCGAGCATGCTCTTGGGGTCGACGTCGCTCGAGACAACGGACGGCTGGGGCCGCACGGCAAGGCCATGCCCGATCGACCAGTCCTTGATGGTCTGGATGAGATCATCCCTTTCTGCCTGTTTGAGAGATGGCGGGTACTGCTCCGCTGTGAGGGCTGCAGGTGCCATTGTGCTGGGGATGCACGCGGAGGTGGGATGTGAGGTCGATCGGTCTCAGAAGGCGCCAAGTTGTGAACCACTGCTGTTTCCCGCTATATGATGAACTGTCTACTGAGGTTGGCTTCGTGATATGTAGGGTGTTGGTAGAGGTGAGGTGTGTTGCAGTGGTACAGCATTCGCCATAGTCGAGAAGAGTTGAGTGATTAATAATGTCGTCTTTCCGTTACCAACCATTTGGCGTACGATGGTGGGGTGAAGAGGTACCTTTTCGGCTCTTGTGTCACGCCCAAGTCGGCACTGAGCATCACTTGTTTTATTAGGTTTGTGACCCACTAACGTGTTTCCGGCAGTGAAATACAGCATCGCATCCTCCAGTATACTGGGGTGTGTTCCGGAGTTCTTATTTTCTAGTATACATGGCACGGTCGGTCCAGAACCGAACCAGTCAAACAGTTCAAATACAATTATGACCTCGCAGCCACGCGTGCCAGTTTCATCCATCGTAATCATCAGGTGTAAATAATTCGCCCACATGCCTCCGTGCCGTCTGTCTACTTTGAGCTTCGAAAATGCTTGACCGGATTCAACAGCAAAGGGTGCAACCGGCCACGCTCCCAAATCGAGGCTCTTGGGGAAGAGTATATGGAGCTTCCTGGCGACTCAGGCTCGACCACCGGCAAGTCTGGTACGGGGATCTGATTCTTTTCCCGCACTTCGTCCTTGGTGAGCAAGGGCATTGACGCACGTGGAAAGGAAAAGACGGAGGAAGACTCCCAGTCCCAGTCCCAGCCCGAGTTGTCTCTGATCTTGGCCGGCACGGGGAGCGGAAGCATCGGTGGTTGCTCCGCCACACCTTGTGCCCGAAAGACCGGCCTATCCTCGACACGAGGCTCGGGCGCAAGCGACGCCCGGAGAAGTGTTAGAGGCCGGACAAAGGGCCATGTCCAGCTTGGGGGCCGGGTCGGCGGTCTGGGCTCCAAGTCTATGTAGCGTTCGGACCTGCGTTTCTGCCATCGGACAAGAAAGACCAGAAACATGGCCACCAAGGCAGCACCGGCTAATGATGTGTTAGTTGAAAGCCCTCCAATACGCTGGAGGACATGTACGTACCAATGCTACCAATGGCGATTCCGGCTTTCTGACCAGAATTGAGACCTCCAGTGGCTGAAGCAGAGCCTGTCGGCGATGGCATCATCGCATCCGGTCTCGCGGTGCCGGTGACAGGAGTGCTCTCGAATGGCGGGGATAGCAGATCATCAAGCGACGTAGGGCTTGCGGTCGACGATGTGGACCGAGGCGGGAGAGGCGTCAACGTTCCAATGATTGGCAGCCGTGAAGGAGGCTCAACGGGCTGCTGGGCGATGGGTAGAGTGCTTGGAAGCGGCACACGGGACAATCGCGGTGTTGATGTAGTCGTGCGTGCGGTTTCCACGTCGGACGAGGTCGTTGTCGATGTCGTTGTCGATGTCGTCGTCTCTTCCAAAGATGTCGTAGGAGGCGGCGAAGGAGAAGACGCGGGGGGAGGAGGAGGAGGAGGAGGAGGAGGCGGAGGCGGAGTCGTTGTGGGCTCATCAGTAGTTGAGGGGGACGGCGATGGTTCGTTTGATGGCGATGGTAGTGCTGGTGGTGGTGGCGGCGATGGAGGAGGAGGTGATGGAGGAGGAGGTGATGGCGGAGGAAGAGAGGGGGGAGGAAGAAAAGGTAGAGCCGGCTCTGGCTGTTTGGCCGATGGTTGTTCCCTTTGCCTTTCTTTCCCCTTGCCTCGACCATTTCCTTTGCCTTGACCGTTGCCCTCGCCATTGCCTCGACCATTGCCTTGGCCATTGCCTTTTCCTTGGCCGTTTCCCTGCCCGTTTCCCTGTCCATTCCCCTTGCCCTGACCTCTGCCGTCGCCGCCCCCATTCCCTCTGTTTCCGTCTTTTCCACCCTGTCCCTTATCACCATTGTTTCCATCACCACCTCCCTTCCCCTTCCCCTTCCCATCCCCTCCGCCGCCTCGGTCTGACCCGCCGGAGGACGAGTCACCTTTGCCCGAGCCTGGTCCCTGACGAGGGGCAACGAGACGGTTGCTCCGACGCCTCACCGCGTCGGTGATCTCCACCGCGGGAGAACGAATGATGGCCATGACGAAGAAAGGGCCGACAGAAGGTGCAAATCGTGTGAGAAGAAGAAACCCTCAGGAGCGAGCAATGCCCAGACACGCAAGTTGACCCGCTCAGCAGTCGAGGGAGGCCATGCCATCTTTATTGCGACGACGAGACCCGTCATTTTGCCTGACAGCGAGCTGGTCCCAAGTTGTCAAACGGTCGACCTCGACCACTGTGTCGCCTGGTCCCATGTTTGGAAACGCTTGGCATCTGGACCAATGCCAGAGGGGCTTTTGGGAGCGAGAGGACGCAGGCGATGGGAGGGTTCGTTGATGGTGGTGGACGGTGCTCGAGAGTACAGCCCACAGACGGGACGGGCGTTTCAAAGGAGCTTTGGCCTGGCGGTCCAACGGCGCGGCCTGGTCAGCACCTACCTCTCTGCGCGCGGGTCTCCTATGCTTGTTCCCTACCTACCCAGCGGTCACCGTTCGGTGAGTCTAATGTTGCGCGGGGAATACGGGTTCAGGCCAAACAGGGCCCGTGTGAACAGTGTTGCACCATCCCCACCAGCTTCGGCGGCGATGGTTTTCCCGGTGCTGGCCATTCGCCTGGCTCGAGGCTGTCTGTGCTTTCAAGTACGCGCATCATGGCGCGCTAGGACTATGGAGAAAATCCTGTTAGATTGCAGTGGCCACGATGTATCGGACGGAGTGGCTGCTGTGACAAACAAACTGGGCGCGAGCACAGGTTGAGTTGGAAATCGAGCTCATGTAGTGGTGGCCCATTAGCAACTAAGTGATACCTAGGCTAGGTGAGGTAGGTACGTAGACAGGCAGGCAGGCATTCTAGAGCTTCAGTCCATGTCTCCGTCAAGGGTGCATCTGTCCAGGTTCTGAAGCCAGGCATGACAGGCTGGAAACAATTAATGTCATGATAATAACCTACAAAGATCACAGCCCGGCACTGCACACGAGTGTCGTCCCGAGTCGATGAGGACGAGTGCTTGTTTACGATTCATGTGGAGCTGGGATGTTCGCATTCACCACCCCAGGCGAGGGACGTAGATCACGTGCTTTCTCGACCTTTCCGCGACGGACTCTCACGCTGTAGCGGTAGGAATCGTCGCGGTGCTATCGCGTCCCGGCTTGTCCCACCCACACCCACTCCCCCACATTGAGACAACTTCGAGGTCTCACAAGACGACAAGTACCTGACGATTTGTACTTGTTGCTCAGTATTCTCTGTCGTTATCAAGCTCTCCTTGTTTTCGTCTGCACCGTTATCTTCTTTTCAATACACCATTGGCACAGAAAGCTGACGGTATTCTCTCAATACGCCGCGACTGCCTTCATCAGCACCAGACCTTGTGAAGGAAGGCTCTTTGTAAGTCTCTTACAGCGCTATAAAAAAGCTACCCTCCGCATCTTCAACCCACACCAGCAGAGAAGACTTCTCTTACTGCAGTCGTGTCAATGAATGGTTTGTTGTTCCTTCTTCTCCGCTCCTTTGGCGTTGCTGTTTTCCATTGCAAAGCGGCGGGCTTGCGATGGTGAGAATGGCGTTTCCGCACTTTCCCTCTTTCTGGCACCTTCCTGACCCCTAATCGGATTACCTCGCACTCTGCACAAAGCAAATGCCTTTCAAAACAGTCTTGCTAACAAGTATCAGCTTCTCATGTCACGACTGTCAAGCCACGTCTTCCACATCAGGCCATCCAATTCGTCTAGATGCATCATGCCTATGGCTGTCTGAGCTCGTGACCATGCGCGACTCCAATGATGATGATCCCTACGAGTGGGACGTCGAAAGACTCGCCTCCGAACTAGGCCGTGAGGGAAGCTTCTGGGGCTCGCTGAACCCTGCAAAGAGACCGGATGCTGAGGCTCTTACTCGGTCCTTGAGACTTCATGAGGTAGATGGAGAGGTCCTGCTCAGCTGGGAGGATGAGTTCCAAAACCTTGACACCTTGTTCTCTGATCTCGGGCTCAGGAAGTCCATCCACAAATTCGCGCTCAAAAAAGCGATTGCAGCTCTCAAGAAGCGCAGTCCGACCTACAGAAAGGCTCAAGCCCAGCGTGCCCAAAGCCAGACCCCCGAACCAACACAGCACGCCGAAGATGCGGAGATGCACAGTATGCAGCCTGGTGTCTTCGATAACGTCACAGACACGGCGGCCATGCCTGCAGCCTTGATCCCTACGGACACCATGAACAAACCTGCCCCGTTGGCAGCTGCCCCCAAAGGCAGCATGACTTCTCCGTCGGGTCAACCGCTTTCACTTGAGCCCACACAGAAGAAGAGGAGGCTGGCACCAGAGCTCATCTCAGCAAACGTCAAAGGCAATGGCCTCCCATCCGCTGCCGCTACTGTGGCCGCCAACTCGCAGACACACAACGCTCTCTACCTACGGAACAACAAGTTCACAACAAGCGCGACTGTGCATCATTCAGACTTGGACCTGCTTACGCTTCAAGACGATACCGCAGATCATGCTTCAGTACAGTTTAATTGGGTGCGACCCAAGTACATCCCGCCTGGAACACGTCTCCAGATCAACCGTGCCATGAAGAGATTGTTCCGGACTAACAATGAGTCACTTGCCCAGTTGGCGTCCGGATTCGTACCACAGCTCGAATACCCTCAGCTTTCGGACGAGTCTGCGGAAGACGAGTTGCTCCCCCTATTTGGAGACTCTGGTGACGAGGCAGAGTATGATGCTGACACCCTGAGAGAGATGGAAGAAGAGGCCAACGAGGCCCAAAAGCCCCCAAAATCCCTCTACCTTAGTAGGGAGAAAGTCGAGGCTATTCTTCACGAATTCGTTCAAGCCGTCGTGTCTTCATGGACCAATACCAAACTCCCTCGCCTGCAGCATAAGGCCCACATGCTATGGAATCAAGCACGCCGCAATGACCGCAACCGGCACATAAACCAAGCTGTCTTGCGCGTTGCTGATCTTGACCGTCGTATTGCAAAGTTGCGCGCCGAGATCCTGATACAAGACTGGTCTAATCCAAGCCAGCTCCGTTACCAGGCGCGATGTATGGAGGCCAGCTTAGAAGACCGAGAGCACCAGTCATGGCTGGCTGACATGCTCAAAGGTCGCGAGCCACCTAAGATCAAGCCCCTATCTCGGTCCCACGTATCCGTGATTCCGAAGGCCATAAACTTTTACCCGGATGAAGAAGGCGATCTGATCACAAGCGAGGCAGAGGACAGTGATGGCAGCAATGACTTTGTTGTCGACGATGAGATGGAAATCCTGTCGACCCAGCAGCTGGTGTCCGCCAAAGAAAAGCCTTGTGGTTCCACAGAAGTCGAATCACCAAAGTCTCCAGTCGCTGCCGTTGGCAACCCAACTGCACTGACCCCGATGCGATCCCCCCAGCCCAAAGCCGAGTTCACACCCCAGCGAAGCGCTTTCATCGATCTTACGGCAGCTGATCGCATCATCACGGGCACCGCCCGTCGAACAGCCTTTGGCGAGCGGGATGTGATCAATTTAGTGACACCCGAGAAACCTCGGTCCCTGGCACCGTGGGAATCAGATGACAGTGGCCCAGCCGAACCGTCCTTGAGTGCTCGACATGACGAGCTTGACATACCATTCGACCGACCGCAAGATATAGCAGCCGTCAGACTTCAGACATGGGAGGCAGCTAGAGACTCAAAACGGCTCACAATCGCTTTCCTCTGGCACCGACAGGAGCCCTGGAGGGATGTCATATTCGATTTCATAACATCAGAGCATCCTGATGATCTATGGCGCGGTCTCATCCTTCCGGCCTGCACGGCAGGGGGTTTCGCTGCTCATGGTGAACCTCGTGCACCAGAAGGGCTTACCAGGATTCGCAACATTCTCTGCCGACTGTTTTGTCAGTACTTGTCGTGCCATTCCATTCAGCGCCTGAATGGAATCGGGGAGGAAGGCAAGCTGCTGATTCTGCGCAACCTGAAAGCCTTGGCCGACTTTTGCCAGTTCCTCGCGCAGCACGTCATCCCCTACTTCCCCAGGGTCAACGCGCAGCGCGGCCAACCGCTGACTTTGGCTGGCGAGTGGTCGGGGGAAGAGGAAGAGGAAGAAGAAGAAGAGGGAAGAGAAGCCTCTGGAGACGAAAACTTGGCCGGAAACGAAGTGACTCCCTCGAAAAAGCGAAGGCGACGAGTCATTGAGGATCAGGGGGCTAAAGACAACCGAGAGGCAACTTACAGAAGCAGGCCCAGGACGAGGAGCGCAGGCTAAAACTGCAGCAAAGGCTGGCCGCGTCGGCTACCATTTCCGGGGACCGTTCGCGCCTCATCATCAACGTGAGTAAAAAGGGAGACGACGACAAAGACTTTGTTTACGTCAACGACGAAATAGCCAGGAGGATCAAAGACCACCAGATCGAAGGTGTCCGATTCATGTGGAACCAAGTCGTCGCAGGAAAACAAGGCTGTCTGCTGGCTCACACCATGGGCCTGGGAAAGACGATGCAGATCATCACGCTTCTCATTGCCATCACCGAAGCGTCAGCTTCGCCTGAGCCGTCCATTCGAGCGCAGATACCGAAGCGACTTCAGCGATCGCAAACCTTGGTCATCTGTCCTACCGGTCTCGTGGACAACTGGAGGGAAGAGCTCACGGCCTGGGATAAGCATAGCGTCCTTGGTGAACGCTACACTGTTGATTCGAAGCAGGACAGCGTCACAAGGACGAGCACGTTGCAGGAGTGGGACGTTCGTGGTGGCGTCCTGATTCTCGGGTACGATATGCTGAGGAGCTTGGCTCGCGCCGATGAGAGATTCAAAAAGATTCTTACAGACAGACCCAACATTGTGGTGGCAGATGAGGCGCATCGCCTGAAGAATCAAAAGTCGAAACTCGCGGCGATTGGTTCACAATTCCAGACTCCGAGCCGAATTGCCCTGACGGGTTCCCCTCTGGCCAACAACGTGGGCGAATTCTATTCCATGATCGACTGGGTCGCTGACAATTACCTGGGCCCATTGAAGGAGTTCAACGCCTACTATGCCCTTCCCATCCAGGAAGGGCTGTACGGGGACAGCTCGCATGGCGAATACCGCTTGGCCAAAAAGAGGCTCGCCATCCTCGAAAAGACTGTCGCTCCCAAGACACATCGTCTCACGATCAAAGCCTTGAAGAACGAGCTCCCGGACAAGGTCGAGTTCTTCCTCACGGTTCCTCTGACTCCTCTTCAGGAGGAGCTTTACGACCTTTACGTCCGTCTGTCCGGGAGAATGCTGAGTCGCAGGCAGATAGCACCTTTGCCGTGCTCGACAACATGATCCTGCTCAACAACCCACCCCCGTTGCTATTTCCTCAAGCTGGTCAAGGAAAAGAACATGCCGCGTGTTCCCCAGGGTGGCGATACCACCCAGGACAAATCGATTACGCCTGCCTTCCTGACGAAGAGCGTAAAGATTTTGAATCGGTGTCGGGATCTGAATGACATTGGTCTTTCATGGAAGGTCAAGGTCCTTATTGCTATATTGGACGAGTGCCGGAAACACAAGGAAAAGGTGCTCATCTTCAGCCAATCGATTCCTACCATTGACTGGCTGTCGACGCTCTTCCAGCAGCAGCAACGGCCTTACAGCAGATTGACAGGCGATACCTTGCCAAGCATACGTCAGAGCATGGTTAAGAACTTCAACGAAGGCGATAATGAAATCTTCGTTATCTCTACGCAAGCTGGTGGTCAAGGACTCAACATTACGGGGGCTAGTCGAGTGGTCATATTTGATTTCAGGTTCAATCCGATCGCCGAACAGCAAGCCATCGGAAGAGCATACCGCATCGGACAGTCCAAGCCCGTTGTGGTGTACCGATTCGTCTCTGGTGGCACGTACGAGCAGCATTTGTACAACAAGGCCGTCTGGAAGATGCAGCTTGCATCTCGCGTGGTTGACAAGGACAATCCCAAACGCTGGTCGACCAAGACGAAGGATGCGTTCACAAGGAATTACAAGGCGCCAGAACAAAAAGACCTGACGGAATTTCTCGGTAGAGACTCAATTTTGGACAGTGTGCTCTCTTCGCCAGCCTTTGCCTCAGCGATCCGGTCCATCATCGTCACCGACACATTCGAGGAAGAGGACCCCAATGACTACATCTTTGACGCTCAAGAAAACCAAGAAGTTGAGATGATGGTGCGTCTGGAGCACGCTCGTATCACTGATCCGACCCAATATGCTCGACTGCTTGCGGAAAAGAGCGCGAGAGAGGGCGCCCAGCAGATGCAAGCACTTGGCTACGGACGTGGGCACGGGTACTTGCTACACTAGATGCAGACTGGTGCACCGGGCATCATCACCCACCGTGG